ACGGATCGCAGGCTTCATAAGGGCATCCGGATGGGATAATGGATAACATAGGGTCTCACGAGGGAGAAGGGAACGTAATATGCGGTATCACAACGGGCCGAAACCGGCCTAGGTGTGTCGGGTCTCTGACAATCCCGACAGCCGCTTCAACCTAACCTAACCTAACCTAGTTCTTGCTCGTTCGTTTATTTTCTCTATATTTATTCTAGTGATCATAGATCTTCATACATGTTTTTATCGATAATATCGATTGCGCTTCTCTTCTTGTACATTTTCTTTTTAGCGCCAAATTCAAATTCATTGACAAATTCATGCTAACATTGCTAAAGTTCATTAAGCTGATATAATATATTAAGTGGCGTCAACATTCTCCCCACCTTGGAAGCTCCTTCCAACATTAAGATCATCTGTATCGGTCGGCAGTGGGCAGAGCTTGTGTACGCTGCGCTTAAAGAGTCCAGTTTTGGTCTTGAGTCTTACAACCCGAACTACCCCATCCGCTCCTGTGTGTAACTCTGCAACTCTTCCCAGCAGCCATTGTCCGTGTGGCGCATTGTCCTCAGCAATAAGGACCCGAGTGCCAATTTGAATGTGGTTGGCTACAGTGTTCCACTTTGTTCGCTTCTGCGGCGCCAGAACATGTTGTGTACCACCAGGATGCGTTTCCAATGGTTGCTCATGGACAGCTGCAACAGTGCTTCGTCGAATGGTTCGACCAGCGTGTTTAGCGGTCGGCCAACCAAGAAATGCCCGGGCGTCAACGCTTCCAAGTCATTGGGGTCCGATGACAATGTATGCAAAGGCCGAGAGTTCATCACTGCTTCTACTTGAGCGATGGACGTCGCCATATTCTCGTAGTTCAGTGCTGTACTGTTGGTGCAGTTCACCAGCATCTGTTTGGCCACCTTCACATCGGTCTCCCATAATCTTCCAAAGTGTGGTGAGCGCGGGGGGATGAAGTGAAACTTGACTCCTCGCTCACTGCATTCGTCGTCAATGAGCTGCTGACTGGGCGGGTCGAAAACTCTGTTTAGATCTGGTGAAGTGCCTACAAAATTGGTAGCGTTGTCGCTAAATCTGAGCTCAATCCACGTCGTGCGAAAAACCGTTTGAGTGCCGCGATGAAGGCATTTGAGCTTAGGTCCGACACGATCTCTATATGGCAGGCCTTTGTTACGAAGCATACGAATATGCCCAGATACACCTTGACTGGGCGTTTTCGTCGCATGTTGAAGTGCATCCATAAAGGCCCAGCAAAGTCCAGTCCCGCTCGCTCGAATGGGTAGATATTGCCTCGCAGTCGACTGGGCAGGCAGCGCTCCCATGAGCTGTGTTGCATAGACCGGTCGACGACGAAATCATGGTATGCAGCCACGGATCACCTTGCGGGCAAGTTTCCTGCAATTGATTATCCAATATCTCTGCCGCAAAAAGGCGCATAATGATTGTGCCCCGGCATGTAAATTCCTTCGATGTGTGAATTCAACGAGCGCATTCACCGCCATATGGTTACTAGGCATTAAGATGGGATGCCTTGTGTCAAATGGCAATTCGGCATTGGTCAACCTTGCCCCGACTCGAATAATACTTATTCCTTCCTCCTCTCTTAAGAAAGGACTTAAACTTTGAATTCTTGCTGATTTTATCACCTTTTCCTCTTTTAGCTTAGTGAATTCTTCGTGCAAACTCAACTGTTGCACATTGTAAACAATATAGCGTAATCCTTCATTTCAGCTGCAGTAAGGTTGCCTGTTTCATTTGAGTTCGATCTCAAAAATATTCTACGCCAGCGAAAAATGTAGCTAAAGACTCGCTGCAATTTGAGGAAATCATTTGCAAATTTGCATCTCCCCACAAGATCGACCTTTTCACTGCTCTCTACCTTTCTAATTGTCAGCGAAAACTTACATTTCTTCTCCTCAGGCATGGCTTCTATTTCTTAACTCCAATTGAACTTAGCCAGATCATCTGCTGAATCTATTAAAAAGTCCGGACCGTTCCACCACATCTTTGACTTGCTTAATTCTGTCACCAAGCAAACCTTTGCCGTTAGCTTGGCCACTAACAGTGCTCCTTGTAACTATAGCCGTGGCAATGATGTTAACCTAACAGGAGCGACCTTGGACTTGGCCGTTACTAGTCGCACCGAACTTCCTCTACTTTTATCCATTACACGAGCATAAATGACGCCGCCGTAAGCTTTGTTAGATGCGTCAGAAAACCCGAAAAGCTCTAACGTGCATAGGTCTGCCGTAATTGGAATGGAGGATCGTGGGATTGAACATTTAACAATTAGTTTCAGTTCTTCCATATATCCACGCCATTGCCTTGAGTAGCTCGCTGGACGCTCCTCGTCCCAATCCTGCTTTAGAAGCCAAAGTTCCTGAATGAAGATTTTTCCCAAGATTAGCAAGGGAATCAAGAACCCTAGCTGATCAAATACCTGAGCCAACTCGGACAACACTGATCGAAAGATTGCAAAGTTGGACCAAATAAGGTCGTGTCGTTCAGCGACAAGCCATTGCAAGACTTACAAGAGGCATCAAATACGACCCGTAATTTGGTCGTCAGATTACCTGGGCGAATAACCGGATGATGAGGGCATGAAGTAATCAACTTTATTTTTCTCTGTAGTCCTTATTGCCTCTAAATGCACTAATTGGCGGAATTCTTCAATAAATTAAACATATTGTTCCTTCAGAGCTTGGCTACGATTCAACCTCTTCTCTAAGTTTAGGAACCTGGTTAGAGCGATTTGATAAGTTTCTCTTAATTCAATTTTAGGATTTTTAAATGGCAGAGCTACCACTAAATTTCCCGAGGCGTCTTGCTTAACATGCGTAACAAAACAATCTTCGCACTGTTTTTCTTCCTCTGTGAACTTATCGACTGGTTCAGGGACTTCTTCGCACTTCCAAAATTGTTGTACGAGCTCTTGCAGCTGCTCATTTCTAGAACCCTTTGCTTCAACTCCACTTGCTACTATGGCAACTCCAGATGGCCTTGTGCATTCACCTACGACGACCCAGCCTAGCAGAGATTTTTGAAGCCTTGGAAGGTGTGCTCATAGTTTTATTTTCCCTGCTATAATTAGCTTGAAGAACAGAGTGACACCCACTAGCATGTCAATACTTTCCCCGGACTGGAATGTAGGGTCGGCCAGAGTAACTCCCTTGGGTGGAACCCACTTCGGAAATCTTCCTGATTGGGTTATACTGCGTTATTTCCTCTAGCACAACAAAATTCTCGATCGCCATATATCTAGTGACTCTTGATTTTAACGTCGCTTGCACCTCTCCAATAATTTGAGATGTTGCATTGCCAATTCCACTGAGTTGCATGGATGAATCGCGCGTTTCTAGGCCCAAACTTGAGACTAACCTAGCCGTCAAAAAATTTAATTGACTACCGGAATCTAATACGCATCTGCAATTGCGATATCCTCCGCTTATATCTTTGATTTGAACCAGCGCGATCGCAAGGAAATTCGTGGACGATCTAGACAACAAGGAGCTATGTAGTGAGCTCGGTTCCTGCACCGCCTGTCCTTTAGGCTTTGACTCCGTAGGTGCCTCTAGTACCTTTCGATGCAAGAGCTCATGGTGAGGCTTGCTGCAAATCTTACACCGCGGACCGTTACAGCCTCTAGTTGTATGTCGCTTACTAAAGCGAATCAGGCACAGCGAGTGCTTCTTTAACTCCTGGTAACGTTGTAACGGTGACAATTCTTAAACTTTGGGCACCCTTTCAATCCATGGGTTCCAGGACAAACGTACCACACGTTGCCATTGCTGCCAATTGCTGCAGCTAAAGACGCCTTTTAACCCTCACTTTTAACATTTCATTAATATTTCACGTGCAAGAGACTTGGGTACAAACACAAACACGAGTAAATCTACACCTAACCACGCACACGGACACCTACATACATACAGCCTCAGGTCACGGTGTTGTTGCGACCACATAAGCCCACCCTACCATGATCACCGCTTCCGGCTCGTCCGATCATCCCTTCCGGAAGGCTATCCTAAGGCCTCCTAACCACTCCCATTATTGATCCCTCCTTCCCAGCATGGTCCCCGAATATTAGGACGCTAGCAATTCATTATATTACTAAAACAAACAATTTTAATTCTGACTTCTTATAGCTAAAAAAAAAAAAAAAAAAAAAAAAAAAAAAAAAAAAAAAAGAGAAAAAGAAAAAAAAAAAAAAAAAAAAAAAAAAACAAAAAAAAAAAAAAAAAAAAAAAAAAAAAAAAAAAAAAAAAAAAAAAAGAAAAAAGAAAGAAAAAAAAAAAAAAAAAAAAAAAAAAAAAAAAAAAAAAAAAAAAAAAAAAAAGAAAAACCCATTAATAAAACCAACACGGGAGGAAAAAAAGAAAGAAGGAGGGGAAAAGGAGAGGTTTTTGTTTTTGGTTCCTAAAAAAAAAAAAAAAAACACAAGGTTTTTTTTTCTTCGCTTATGTACAGCGATATTTATATTGTATGCACTTCCCGACTTGGACCTTGTAGCCTGCTTTTGGGTGAAAGCTTAATACGTTCGACGCTATAATAAGCCAAATATTAGGAGTGCAAGGGCTCTGGCATGGGCATGGGCACAGGCACAGACACGGGCTCGGAGTAATTGCCAAGACGTTCGACAGAAATTAAATGTCTTTCAAATGAAAGGAAAATCATTGCCAGCTGCTTCGGAAATGGATACCGCAATAAATATATCTAGGAGGCTGAGGGGCTGCTCTTGTGACTGAGATTGGTCCTTCCTTTTCAGTCAGTTTCATTTAATCAGAGTACTCAGAACGACACAAGCCTCGAATTGAAGTAGCTGTCTAGAAGTAGCTGCAACAGAGAATCAATTTACATATGCGTGCAGAGCACACTGTTGATTGTGCTGGGACAGGGACAAAGTAGACTTCGCACCTCAGCAGACAAAACGCAGATGGGTGACACAGAGAGCGCTGGTTAAGCTTGGTTCGTACTCATTCCACGCAACTGATTTGATTCGAAATTTTTAATATTTATTAGCTACCTCTACGGCTCTTTGTTTGACCCTTACCAACAAAAGGAATCAGCATGCGGCCGTTATATCTCGCTGACTCCCTATTCGGATAACACGCTATACCCAATAACTCGAATAAAGGATTTGGTCGTGCAACATGCGTGAAGACCAGACCCATTTGCTGCATCGCCTCTACCGGATTTTCCGGCTCGGTTTTCTTCGCCATCTCGCAGTGCAAGTGCAGCACGCGATCGTTGAAACGCTGCTCGATCTTTTTCAGCGTAAATGAAGACTTCGGCTGCATGGTCGCTGCCAAGTCGCGCACAGCTCCCATCGCACTGGCAAATACCTCCAAGCTTTCCACGGGTGGCGGCAGCTGTGCCCAGTACAGATCCTGCACCAGTTCGATGTGTTCGCGAAAGGACTCCCTGCTCTCCCACATTTGCAGCAGACTGGCCCTGAAGCGTTGCACATCCTCCGCGTCGCACTGCAGCAGCTCCACAAATCGGCGCGTCCGCTCCGGCAGCAGCAGCAGACGCTGCTCCACATCCACACGGTCACATTGAGTGTAACACTCTGAGGTCTCGAGCTCGGTCTGCACCGCCTGGACGCAAGTGGATATTGACTCCGTTTGGACAATGGACACGTAGTCGGCCGTGGCAGTTGGCGCTGCCTCCAAACTCGCATGCTGCGAACGGAAGGAAAGCATCGATGTATCCGAGTGGACGGTGTGAAGGGAAAACATCGAGTAGAAGCTGTTGCTCGACAGACTCCGCTGCAGCGCACGGCGGCGCACTCGGCCGTGAAAGATGCGGCTCCAGATGAACCGTTTGAGCATCTTCCGCTTGCGTCGCTTCGAAAAGAGTTCCTGTTTATGCTCCATCTCTGGCTGCTCCATGTCCTCAGGATTCTTGGCTGCGAGTATTTGGTCCAGCTGCTTCACGCTGCATGCTATCACCTGGAACTCCTTGTGTGTGGGAGTATCGGCCTCGCTCTGCCGCTGTTCCTTGGAGGGAAAGGAAAAGAAAAAACTATAAGTCTCATCCACATGTGGCACTCGTCTCCTGTTTACCCACCTCAACGTCGCACAGGACACAGCCCAGTTGCAGGCTTGCGGACTGCAAATCCTTGATCTCCTCTCGTTTGGCCCGCTTGGCCGGACTGTCGTAGAGCTCGTGGGTGAGACTAAAGCCCTCCGGCAAGACTCCAATTTCACGCTCCATGCGGTGGCACAGCTCATCCTTGGTGCGCAGCTCATCCTCCAGGCAGTGGGCACGCTCCTCGGACTCCTTCAATTGCGACTCCATCTGCCGGATCTTGTTCTCCAGCGTGCCCACCTCCTCTTTGAGCTCCCCATTGGTGACTTCGATGTGCATGAAGCTCTTGCGCAGATCGTACATTTGGCTGCGCAGAGCTTCGGCCTCCTGCTTCAGCGCCTCCTCGGTTCTCGCCTGCAGCTTCTTGGCGAAACTGAGGTCATCGATCAGCGCCTGGCAGCGTCGCTTCTCGTTCTCCAGGGCCACGGCCATCTGTTGCTCCGCCTCCAGCTGCTCCTGGGGCTGGAGCAGATCGTTATACTCTTTGGTCAGTCGCATCAGGCAGGTCTTCAGATGCTTTACGTGGCTGCGCAGCACCTTGACCTTTTCCCGCAGGAAGCTGACCTCCCGGGCACTGGGACTAGCGGTGGATATGTCGTTGCCCATTTTGGCCAGAGCCAACAGGCGACAGATCAACAGCAGTGGCAGAGATCGACGCAGTGCCTCCAATTGTCGCTTCGTTCGCTGACGCTCCTCGTGCAGATGCTCCAATTGCGTCTCCGCCGCACCCAAATCCTCTCTCAGTATCGGCACTCGGCGTGGCAGTCCTTGTACTTGGCCCCCAATGCGTCCTTGCTGAACTCTAGCTCCTCGTTCCGCTGCCGTGTGATCTCCAGTTCCACCTCGTTGCGCTGCAAATGCAATCGCGTGTCGTTCTCCGCCTCCTCGAACTAACACTTGGCCACCTCCAACAGGGCGTTCTCTCGCGCCTCCTTCTCCAGCAGCACCTCTCTCTCACAATCCGCTGGTGGCTCTGTGTATGCCGCAGACGCTGATCTGCTTTGGTAATTAAATGAAATGTAATTTAATTTTTTGTGTATCGAGTTCAAGTGCATGTATTAGTAATTTTAAAATAAATATATGGCATATCCCTGGGGCTTGGCTTGGCTGGGACTTGGCAGTTCGAGAACTGACATAGTGGCCCGAGCTTGCTACACACCTGTTCGGCTGACGGCATCATGGCATCAAGATCCAATTGCTGGACACATTGCAGCAACTGTTGCAAGCAGCGTTTGTCCCTGTCCGCCAAGAGTTTTTTTCTTTTTACGTTTTGAACTCTAGAACGGATCCACAGCTTAGAATTTTCCTAAGGAGAACGACCTGGCCTTTTGATCTGTTTAAATACGATCTAAGGATCTAAGCGGAAAGGGCGAAAGCTCCTCTTCGATGCGCTGCTCTGCACTGGCTCAAGCTTAGCTCAGCTGTTCTAAGTCCAAGGCTTGCACGCACCCACCCCAAACTTGTAAGATACCTATTTCAGGCTGGGATATGCTTCAGCCTGTCCAGGGTCCTCTACAAGAAATTTGTAGATGCATGGGAACTAAAGGCTCGGGGCTGGCCTCGCTATGTCCGAAAGAGCAGTAGGCAAGGTGGGAAGAATGATGACGCGGTAGCTTTTGTGGTTTTTGTTTATTATTAATGCTTTTATTCGTTTTACTTGTTTACAAATTTAACCTTCTGGTCCCTCCGTTGTGTTGTGAGCTGGTGGACTGCTTAGTAGTTTCTTGCCTTTGTGAATGCCTGCTGATGCCTAGTACAGCATCTTGGGTTGGGGCTTATGGACTGCCTGCTTTCGGAGGCCCCCCCGGCCGGAGGGGCCTTGGTGCGTCCCCAACACCCCCCCCGCCCTGTGAGCTGGTGGACTGCGTGTTAGCCGAGCCATCGCAAGCATGCAGGAAAGATAGGTGTTAGACTAAATTCGAGGAAAATTAGAGCTAAACACAACTCAAAGAGCTAAACATGCAAAGATAGCTAAAAAATATAACTAATTACGGGAAAGGTATGTTAGTATTAGTGATTTAAGAAGAGGAAGGGAATTAGTAGTTGATATTATGTGGTAAGGGGGAATTGAAGTCCGAGCAAAGGACCCTAAATGGTTCGTGCAAGGAATAATTCGATCTACAAAGCGGAAGGAACAAAGGAATGAAGTTTCTAGTAGATCTAATAGGAATCGTAAAGTTTATGCGGCTCAACATGTCAGGGCTATCTACGTCACCCTTGATCAGGTTGTGCATAAAAATCACACCAAGCATTTTTCTACGACTATGGTTGGAAGGTTTATTAAAAGCAATCTACGAGGATAAGATGGCAGTCTCACACCTGCATCCCAGTTAAGGCCACGCAGAGCAAAAAGTAAAAAGTTTTTCTGGACTGATTCTATACGGTCCTGGTGTACTTTGTACTGGGGGCACCATACACAAGAGCCGTACTCTAAAATCGGACGAACAAGCGAGATGTAGAGAGCCTTCGTTATATAGGGGTCGTCAAATTCCTTTGACCACCTCTTTATAAACCCAAGCACACCAATGGCCTTATTTACCATGGTAGAAATGTGTTCAGAAAACTTCAACTTTGGGTCTAATTTAACACCAAGATCATCAACCAAGGTAATTCTCTCAAGAGAACCACCGCAGAGGCTATAAGGAGCCAAAACGGGGCTGAAGCGATGAAATATCATTACTTTGCATTTCGAGGCATTTAGGTGTAACATATTTGCACAATACCATGATTGAAAGTTATTGAGATTGCAAGCGAGAGTGAAATGAAATGTCCTTATACTGGACACAAAGTTTAACATCGTCCGCATACATGAGTACTCGAGAGTTTGTTAATACTGAAGGCAGATCATTAATAAAGAGTGTGAATAGTAGGGGGCCTAGATGGCTGCCCTGTGGTACTTAACAGGTGAAGAGAAGGAGTTTTTGAAGAGGACTCTTTGAGACCTAGAACGAAGGTAGCTAGAAATCCATCTCAAAAGATTAGGCGGAAACCCTAAAAGGTCAAGTTTTTGTGCTAAAAGAGAATGGTTTACAGAATCGAATGCTTTACTAAAATCAGTGTAAATGACATCCGTCTGCAAGTTACCTTGAAAGCCTTTAATGATAAAAGAGGTAAACTCTAATAAATTTTTGGTGTTGATCGTCGCCTTATAAATCCGTGCTGGGACGGAGATATAAGTGATTTGCAGAGATGTTGCAAATGCGGAGTTAAAACTTTTTCAAACATTTTAGGAATAGCGGATAACTTAGATATACCTCTATAATTATTTGCATCAGACTTACTACCTTTCTTATGGAGCGGAATAATAAAAGATTCCTTCCAGATGGGGGGGAAGCATGAAGAGTTAATGGATGGGTGAATAGTTTAAGCAAGGGTCCACACAGAGCGTCGGCACAGTACCTAAGTACACAGCCGGGAACTCCGTCGGGACCTGGTGAAAACACCGGCTTAGCTAGTCGAAGATCATGAAGCAGTGAGCTTTCATTTAACAAGGGGCTGAAGATGCCATTCGACCTTGGTAAACTGTATGGATACGGCTGACCAGAGAAGCTTTCATGAGAATAGGTTGTTTGGAAAAATTTGGCAAAAAGATCGGCAATTGCCTGATCATTGTTTGCTGACATATTGAGAAAAGATAACGAGGATGGATGTGCGGACGTTCTACGCTTACTATTTACAAAGCTGTAAAACTGTTAATGGGCCTGTGAAAATCGTATCCTGCATTGAGATAGGTAGTTTTTATAACATTGAGCGTTAAGAACGGAGAAATTTGACCGAGCTATTACATAGTGAGAAAGAGAAGAGGGAGAACCAACTTCTCGAAATTTTTTATAAAGTCTTGATTTTAAATTTTTTAGACTGGATAACTCCTTGGTAAACTAAGGAGGCTTTCCAGATCTATCCGGACAAGAAAGTGGGACACAAGAATAAAAAAATGTGTCAAGTACATTGTAAAAAATGTTTGTGCCTTTCATAACGCCAGTGCACAAATACAGAGCGGACCAATCAAAATCCCTAATAAGGTTATTCAGCTTCGTAAGCTCGGCTTTACGAAAGCAGCGGACACGTTAAGATAGCCTACCCATTCGATCCAATACAGTAGGACCAATATCGACTGACACTTCGAATGTAGGATGGTAGGAGTCTTCAGGTATACTGAGCAGAAGGGCTCGGGCTAACAACGCTATGGTCGGATCCGAGACAAAGCACAGATCAAGCAATTGACCCAAGAAATTTTTCACATGGTTGACTTGAGACAGGGATAGGTCTAGCAAGCCGTCGATAAAGTCATGTCGTGACATGGGCACAAGTTTATTAGACTAGTTTACCGAAGACCAAACAGTACCTGGAAAATTAAAATCAGCTAGAACTATCATATGGACTTTATCTGATAGCGAGAAAAGAAACAGTTTTTAAAGCGGACTGGTGATGCTCGTATATTAAGATATCCGAGGAAGGTGGAATATACGAGCAAGTAATGAAAATGGAAAAGCCTGGGAGAATCAGTTTTACGCACAGGAATTCCAGGTCTTGTTGAACCTGGACCATGAAATGTTCCGACGTGAAGTTTGAGTCCAAACGGTCATTTCTAAAAATTGTGTACCGACCTGCCAAAACTTCGGAACTAAGGATGTCCGGCTTTAACCAGGTCTCGGTGAACACAATAACGTGGGATGAGAATGCGAGACTCTCAAGGAAAAGAGTGCTGAGCTTACTACGCAAGCCTCTAGCATTCTGGTAGGTAACTGCAAGAGAGGAAGTTAGTTTTTTGGATGGGTGGAAGATGAGGATGGAGATGGAGCACTGGTCTGAATGCTAGGAAGAGTAATGGGGGGCCTATTCTTTTTCTTAGCGTTAAACTCTTTAACCACCAAATGCTCTGACCAAAACTTGGCGGAACAAATGGTTTCAAATTGAGTTGGGGAGACGCTTATATTGAAGGAAGAAAAGTTAAATTTTTCCACCTTTAAGCCAACGGCTTTTATTTTGCTTTTTATAAAAGCGGCCACATCATTGGATGTGAGGTCAGGGGCTAGCCGCGAGACAAAAAATTGTCGCTTTGGTGGGACTCCCACCAGTGGTTTTGGCACCACAGGCCTAGTACCTGTGTTGGCAGTATCCGGTGGTCCTGGACATCTATTAGCTGGTGGGAGCGAAACTGAGGGGATAGTTAAGGGGTTGGGTGCGGACTCGATGGACACGGACTCTACAGACATTTCGAACTGCATACTCTCCGAAGTGACGCATTCGGCTCCCGAATCTGCATCACCAGCAGCGATCGTTGCCCTTGGAGTAGCAAACGTAATCAACTGCTGCACTAAGATGCTGGCGGACATGAGGCAGTCGGTACTTGCAAGTCCCGCGGAGTAGGCTTCTTGCGCCCTCGGAGACTTAGCCAGCAGCTGTAAACTGCTGAACTGAGTTTTAATGGCCAAGAGCCGATCATATTGCTGTTTAAAGCCTACGATCAGCTCTTTGAAGCCACTCCGCGTCTGCCTCATGAACGAACGCATGTCGTTTTCCACAGCACGGCATTCCACAACTATAATGTAGGCCGTTGTTTTGGGAAAATGGCGTCTCCTACACGGCCCCGAGATCCCTACACATTTTGCGTGCACTACGCTTTCGCAAAGCGAGCAGGGGATATTGGGCTGGTCATGGGTGATTCCATATTTATGTCTTTCATTTTTATTACTTTGGGAAAAAAAAGTTCAAAACAAATAGCAATCAGACCACTGTGCAGAGCAAATTCTTAGAGCAATGCTTAAAGCGAAATCGGTAAAAGATGAGAGAGGAGAGTGGTTGCAGCAACAACTTATAAGTGAGAGCGTTACTGCACAAAAAGTTACAAAGAGCGAGAGCGAAAGAAAAGTTAATGAGAGTCAGGTGATCGAGAGAGTGATAGACGGCAATAACTACGACAAAGAGCGGCTAAATGTAATGAGAGGGCGTACTTACGAAAAGCAACAACACAAACACACGACTAACCGACGCACAAAATTTATTAAATAAGTTGTGTTTTTACACAATTATCAGGCATGCACCCGCGGTAAAAGTATGATTTTAATGT